TGCAAAGGAGTAAGAGGAGGGAAAAAAGACGGGAGACGGAAAGTAGAAGACGGCATGTCAAAATGAGTGACAGAGAAGAAGAAAATAAACACATTAATTTAAAAATCTGTTTTCCTTGTCAGGCAACCAAACTGTAATTGGGTTAAAAAAAAATCTGGAAAAAAAAAAATCAATAAAAATGGTGAGTTCTATTAAACTGGCTCATCAGAGATTGTGACAATGTGAAAAAGTCAGGCCAAGAGCTTGATTGCACTGTTTGACCAAGCTTGAAAATTAACAATTTTCTTTCAAAGGACCTGACTAATTTACTTAAACTGTTCAAACAGGACAAGCTGCTAAAACACAAACTAACAAAGAAGGCTGGGTCCCAAAGCATTCCTATCCCCAAGACTTGGCTCCCAAGGGAACAGGCGAATTTACAGTGGAGACACCCAACTTGTGGCTTTTGAATCATTTGGTAAGTGAACCCTTCCAACAATTAACTCAGTTTATAAAAGTTTGAGAAGATTTGTAGCTCGGGTTGTGGACGAGGTTGTAGACTTGAGGCCTGGTATTCTAACCAGAACACCATCAACAAACACATTGAATTATACCCTGTGTACAAACCACTGAGAAACAGAACTGGAAGTGGTACCAAATATCCCAACAAACTCAGGCATATAAATAACAAGCAGGACAGAATGCCAACGCTTCACTGGAGGTGCACTGATGATGTTATCTAGCAGGGCAACAAAATGTTTGCAACCAAACCCACCAACTCAGTGAGTAAGTCTATAAACTAACTCAGTTTTTTAGAAATGCATCACAGATCTGGTTTGGATCCTTCTGTGGAATTGATGCAAAACATGAACAGTTTTCTAATAGTATTTCCAACTTGTGAGGTATACCGGGGGTTAGACCCCACAACACCTGACCACATTATTGAAGACTTCGCAAGTTTTGTCACATTAACCTTTGGTGTTGAGAATCTTAGCTTGTGGCCTCACACAGGAAGCTACTGGATGAGAACCTCCTGGGAAACACCATCCACAAGCAGGCAAATATTGTAGATAGGCACAAAATACAGATATCACTGAGCCCTACAGTCCCAGGTAGCAGTGACAAGGAGATTAATGTTCATTCCAGCATATTTGAGTAATCAGAGTTGACAACCTTAAATTCAGACATCTTGAGGTTGACCCAACAACCCAGTTTTTAAAATGCTGTTCTGAGCTATAATATGAGCCTTGCACATTTTTTTAACAAATTGATATGACAATAAGGGAATCCATTCAGTCTGCTGTGTCTAAATCAGCTCCTTGAAAAAGCTGACCCATTAGGCCCAACTGCCTTGCTGCATCAGCATAGCCCAGAATATTTTTCCAATTGCCTTTTGAAAGTTATTATTGAATTTGTTCCCAGGAGCCTTTCAGGCAGCTCATTCCAATTACCATTACTCACTTCATTCAAAAAACAAACTTGTCTCTGGTTCACTTGCCAATTACCCAATACCTGTGCCTTTTGGTTGCTGACTCTAACATAGCGGTCAACAATTTCTCTGTATTTATTCATTCAAAACCCTTCAGGATTACCTATTAAAATCTAATAAATCCTCCATGAATTTTCTCTGCTCTGAGGAGAACAACCCAAGTTTCTCCAGTCTCCCCATGTAACCGAAGTCTCCCATCCCTGGGAATATCCAAGTCATTACAAGCCTCCTACATTCCAAAAGTGCATTTATTTGAAACAAACAAACAGTACATAATTGATGAACTTAATCTCTGAAAGGCAACTTTCTAAGTACCACAGGCATAAGCTAGAGCTCCGGCAAAAAAAAACTACATGTTGCTTCTAAACAAATTTCTTTCATGTAGAAATATGTTCCCATATCTTTAATGGGATGGGACAAAAAATTAAAAAGCTGATTTGGAAAACAAGTATTTGTAGGAATGATTTATAAAGTATTATAGTTGTAACCTATTTTCTACACACCCAAAGAAGATTCACTTACCCAATTCATACAGGTATCCATCAACATTTACAAAGGTTATAAAATGCAAATCCACTTTCTCATCTAAACTTGGTGCCTGGAAGAGATAACATTGATATAAAATTTTAGTTGTTTTAATCTTTATGGCTTTTGCATCAAAATGATCATAAAGTGATGCTCTATATAAGGCAAAGCCAGAATAGCTTTTCACTTTCACAAATTTGAATCTATCAGAAACATGACAAGTAATAAATGAAAGTGGAAAGCACACCAAAATCACTTCCACATCTCAAAGAAAAAGAAAGTGAAAGTGTCCAAAAAGAGCTCTTTGATTAGAGTCATTGAATAGATGTGAATCAACAGACTTGGATTATTTGAAGGCATCTGCTAAAGTTCCATTCAACAGTATCAGTGCCAGTCAGACTTGTTCCATCTTCGAACAACATTATGGTCATACATATATTGGATGGACGGTCGTGGTTCTGCAGCGTGACTCACCACTACCTACATGATTGAGTAGGGATGCTCAATAAATGCTGGCCCTGCCACCAATGCTCATTTTCCATGAAAGAAAGTAATAAAAATATTAAAGGAGTAGGAAAGTTTCAGGTTCGGACCCTTCTTCTCCAGCATCTGCAGTTCTTGGTATCTTCAAATAAAAATATTATATAGAGTTTCAGTAAAACCACACCTGGAGCATTCTACGTAATCTTGGTCTCCTCAACCAAGGAAGAATAAACTTGGCTTTGAGGGAATGCAACAACGGTTCAACAGATGAATCCTGAAACAAGAGGCTGTCCTATGAACAGCTACCAAATGGAAAGGGTTGTTAATCTCTGGATGCCAGAAGAATGAGTGGAAATGTCATTGAAATGGAAATAGAGTTAGATGCAGATTATTTCAACTGGCTGGAGTGTCTGAGTCTAGGAGGCACACAGTCTCCAGAGATGGGGCAAGCAGTTAGAATCATATAACAAGAAATTCCTTTGCTCAAGACTGTTTATCTTAGGAGTTCCTACCCCAGATGACAGTGGACGCTTAGCCATTGAGTATATTAGGGTTGAGATCGACAGATTTTTGGGCTCCAAGAGAATCTAGAGAATATGTGATAGAAATCCAGCCTTGATCTTATTGAATAGCTGAGAAGGCACAAGGGCCTAGTCCTGCTCCTACCTGTTATGTGCTTTGTCTAGAAATACTAAAATCGAGATACGTGTAAATTAGAGGCAATCCTGAGGAATAGGAAAGAACTTGTTGAAACGTTACAAGGCAGAGTTGTCAGAAATAGATTTTCTGTGATTGGCCAGTCATGGAAGTGACCTCACCTAGAGGCTTGCTGCTGGGTCATAGCTGAATTTTCCACAAATAGTTTTAATTGCTTGGCAGAACAGAGCTTAAACAAACATTCCTAAATAGTGACAAAGTCAAAATCACCCGTACTGTACTCCAAGACTGAATCACAACAAAACCAACTTCAATGGACAACAATTTACACAGTTTAAGAAGAGGCTGCTGACTGGTTGGATTATGGTTAATATGGCAATGCAGCAGGAACTGTTAACCAGGTGTAGAGCTGGATGAACACAGCAGGCCAAGCAGCATCAGAGGAGCAGGAAAGCTGACGTTTCGGGTCTGGACCCTTCTTCAGAAAATTTTCTGAAGA